CTTCTTTATTTGTTTTGTTCTTGCGACTCTATTTCAGTTACAATTGTGCCATAATGGTATTTCAGTATGTTGTAATAGAATTGTTTCTAATTTCCTTATGCAATTCGTAAATGTGAGCGTCATGTTACACAAATTGTTACCCTCCGCTCCGTTCTAGTTGGAACAATTGCGACTGGACTTTTAATTTCATTACGAAACTATTCGATTTTATAATTGAACGTCTCCAACTGGTTTTAACGAAAATAATCGTGCAGCGGAGCAGAAGCGTCACACCTGAACAGCTGTGGAAAAAGGATCTGATCAATCTGTATGCTAAGTTATGCACGAGTGATAAAAATTTATATTTATACACGGTCTGATTAAACTTGTCAGCGGCGGAAAATTTCATTTATTTCGAACATCTTATTCGAATACAAATCGAATCGGAATTAAGGATATTTGCCTTATTCGTTGTATAATTTCAATACATCTCTAATTTAATCCATATCTGAATGTGTAATCAATTTCTACAACCTTAATAAATGTCGTGTTTTAATTATTAACAACAATTTTCATATAATCAGGCTGGATAGGTTAGGTAAGATATTCAGTCTTTCGTGAATTCCTCGACAACCCCTTAAGATAATTACATCATGGACTACTCATGTGAAAGCTGAATGTCTCACCTTTCCAGCGAGTCTACTTATATCTTCATACTGTCTTCGAGTCGGATGCTATGAGCTGTAGAATTTGAAAAAATAATTAAAAAATTTAAATAATGCATGATAATTAATGCATTATTTATATTTTTTTTAATTATACTACAGAAATAAATGTTTATTATTGTTTATTAAATAATATTATTCAAAATTATTTTGTAATAATTTGTACATGAATATTACAACGCACATGTTCATAATTCATTAGTTATAGAAATATTAATGAATTCATTTAATATCCATTTAATTCTTATAAAATAGTAAAATTCATATTAAAATCGATTTTTAACTACGCAGTAAAATCTCCATATCCATTTTTTATTGCTCGTAAATTGAAGTTTTAAAAATCGAACTTAAGATATTTTTTATTTCTGAATGAAATTTAAATAAATAATGGACCATTTTTCACGCGAAGATGTCTAAAGTTATGGAAAACAAACTTTTATTGTACACCTTTTCAAACATATAATTCTATATCTTTGTTCTCTTTTTTTTTCAGAAGGGACTTACGAAAAGAGAAATGGTATGAAGGAGTCAGATCACTGCGGTGAAACGGTAAGTTTAAACAGTTATTTTCTAAAATTAAATTTCAAATTTGATTATATATTTTTAATAAATAAAAATTGAAAAACTTTTACTAAACCATAATTAAAATATTAGTACTGTACAAAACTTTTAATGTAAAATCCGGTTTCAATTGAATATTATACTTGAGAACATTTAATTAGTTAATTAATTAAAACTAAAGTCATGATTGTTTGTAGAGAGACCCATAACCATATATGCTTAAACTATTTGCTTATCAACTTATAGTGTAATATATATATCCGGGTGCCGCTATGTGTTGATCTTCTATGGTAGCAATATATGCTTTAGCAAATAGTCTAATGAACATGCTGCTATAGATACAATTATTTGAATTGTTAATTCAATACATATGATTCATTGAAGTGCGATGCAGCGTTGTGTATTAGACTACAATTATATAACTTTGCAATAAGATTACGGATGAGATCTGATGTAGGTGAGATGTATAAAATATGCAGGCATGTATCGAGGTTGAAAATGCGTAATTAAAATCGCGTTAAGTGGAGTAAGTGCTTCGAAACGGTTGAAATAACTTTTATTTTGTATGATTTTAATTAAACGTCCCGCTGTTGTAAATGATTCTGGAATTCTAAACAATTAGCATTACGTGATTGAGAAATGCCGCACGATCATTAAATATCGTTATTATATATTCGCCGATGACCTTTCGGATATGCAGAAAGAAACTGCAAATCAAATAGAGAAAAATATGTACCTATTTATTTATTTATTTATTTATCCGTTTGTAGGCGAGCTGCGAGTTTTATTATTATTTGCGCCGGATAATGGATGGCTACGGTTTATAATTTGTGGTCTCTTAATTATACCACCGCCTCCAAGCTCATACACTCTGGAATATTGCCACATAAATTACAATAATCATACAATTAGTTTCGGGAAAGGAGGTAACCGCCTTTAATCGATACTCGCCAAAATATCCATCCTCTTGTAATTAATTGATCGGGGAAGGTAATGAAGACGAACGCCGCTACGATGAATGGGGGAAGGGAGAAAGACGAACTGGACCGGTAGGTTCGAGACTCTGGACCCACTCGCATCCAATTGAAAGAATAGACCACACGTAAAGGGCAGCCTTTTGTACTCCCGCAACACCCGCAAATGCGCATTCCACAAGTGGACGACCTTGAACTGGACACGGGATCCGAAGAGTGAGAGGCTCAAAAGGCAGAAACTGAAACACATGTACAGACAATACATATTCCAAGTGCCATCCTTCAAGGACACCACACTGACCCTCACCAATCTTGGAACGCGTTTAATAAAGGCCCATCCTTTTCAGAATCCAACTTTCTTATACTAATAGCAGATTGTGCAATGGAGCGAGACAAGTCATAGATATTACGGTTAGTAGTTCATCCAGTTCGGTTTTCGTTTTGTTTTGAAATTTTTAAATTCCCGCTTCTCGGAAAATGTACGGAATGAAAGATGCACAGCACGCAACGGAAGTGTCTGCCCTCTCGGAATACAACGGGATGTGTATGTATGTTTGTATAGATTCGCAGGAAATATTCGTAAAGTGTAAAAGGCGCAATTGCGTGAACTGTGATTTGCATGTCTTATTATATTTCAACGAAGAGAAACAACCAAGATTCATACAAACAAAAAAACATATTTAATGAACACAAAGTTCCACTTGTAGTAAACACAATTATAGTTTTTATTAATTTATCATTTATATATTGTGTATATAGTAAACTATGTATAGAGTAAATTGTATATTATACACATTTCCTGTAAATATATACAACAAATTTACCTAACCATTATAATAGAGCATATTAAACATGTTGTTTATTTTATATAATGTTATACAGAATAATCATAAATACTTCAAATTACCTTAACATTATTCATTATAACTCTCAAAGTTTTTGTTAGGGTATAAAATATAATATAATACGGTAAAAACGTTCGTGTCAACCCAAATACCTTCCGAATGAGTCGAATGTGCTGAATGGAAATTCAAATGGTATTCTCTGTCCACAAAAGGAACGCACTATATTCAATGCAACTCACACTCCTATTTTTATTTTTATTTTCAAGAATTCCTATATACTCTTAGCGTCTTGGTTATTTGAGCCAAGCCCCCCAAGCGAGCTACCAACTTTATGGTTTGCGTCGTCTTGGACACGCGTCGACTTTCACAAATGCAAACAATCTAAGCCCACACTCTTAATTGAATCATTAAAATATCATGGGTTATGTGCTTGAAATTTTAATCGGATGAAAAACGCAATTAGAGGACGAAATATATGGCTTTAACAAATTAAGGTTAATTTGGCTCAATTATACGAAACCAGACTCCAAAAATGATTTAAACGTCACGAAGTGCAGTCGCTGTCTTATAATGAACGCAATTGTCCAAACAAAGGCATAATCTGAGGTTAATTTCGGGCCAAGCTGAAACGTGCACGTTCAAATTTACTCATTTCTCAGTCCATTTATTTTGATAATTAGATTGCTTACCTTCAAAAGCTTTGTTAACCGAAATGCAAACAATCCACGTTAAGCTTAGACAATATTTGCGAAATTTCTGATATGCATACAGTATCATAAGACAAGATATATAATTGGAAAAAAATGAGATATAATAAATATTGTGTATGATAATTTATAAGACTCATAATTATCTAAAAGTTATACTTACACTATGAGAAATATGGTTTCAATTATTTGCACAGAAACTAATTGGAAACTGCGATTGCACAATGTTACTGTAATGTGTATATTGTACACTTAACAGACGTTTATGTGACATATCACATCTGTTCCAACATAAAGTTGTATTTGAAATGCTACAAAATTGCTAGTGATGCTTATGAGTTATCTACAACTAAATAATTTTAAGTTTAGCATAATTATCATTAAACTTTCTATGAAATGTTTTTTTTTTTAAATTAAATGAAGGATATTAATATAAGTATTTCTTAAATACTTTATGTATACAATAGACTCTAGCAATTAGTTTGCACTTCTCTAAAATGACCCTATTAGAATGTAATTGGCACTCATCCTAGAACAAGGTGTTAATTAGTTATTTTACAGAATAATTAGTTATTACGTAAAATACAATTAAGACTCTGTCTACAAAGAGAATATCGAATTATACATTTTCTTGCTAACATGTATATTTGTATAATGGTATAAAACCACCGGGTACTTGAGAATATTAAACTTTAGTAAGTAAATGTTATAGTTATATGTTGCTTTTATGACGAATCAAATTACTTTAATCCAAATAAAACGGAACAAGATGAGAGGTATCTCATAAATATTTCAAAGAAATGACGTGAAAGATGAGCCCTTCCATAAAAGCAAATGGAGACTGGGATAAGAACAAGCACATAAAAGCACAACACGTAAACACGTACATAGACTATAAACTTCGTGCGGAAAAAATGTACCAAACAACGATCTTCCGGTTTCGCTACAGCATTTTTTGGGAAATTCATATATTATGACCGATCCCAACCGCGGGAACTAAAAATACAATGTTAACAAAACAGTATTTGGAATACGCAATTCATCCTTGCAGAGAGATGCGAACGGCCCGAGGCCGTGGCGGAATAAAATGGAGCGCACGTTACGTAACACTCGCGCCACCGTGCGGAAGTGACCTTTTAGCGCGGCCGCCCATGACCGACCATGTAATTTAGCCTGTTTCTGTTGCAGAAACGATGATTGCCCAGGTGTGTTTATTTTACTTCTATGTTTGTTTGCCGTTGCCACTGTAATTTTCGTGTTTTTGTGTTCTGATAAGGCGCGTTCAATTTTTCAGTTCGTTGATGGTTCATCGGTATCCAGTCATGCGAGAGAGGGCTGCAACCTCAAAGGGTGGATGATAAGAGGCCTCTCGGCACATTGGATCTGGGTCATTTCTACTTTATGTTTATCGATATGTCACTTTTTTTTTCCATCGGTTCGCCAACTTGTTACGAAACCGGATTATTGACATCGGACGCCTTCCTTTTTTTTTTCAATATACCCCGCATAACATGCACTGATGTCTGTTTATCATCAATCAATAACATCACCAGCCTCACGTCGACAGAGATTACTCTTCTCCCATCAACTATTTGATTCAGTTAAGCTCGAAGCCATAATCACTTAAATGAAGCTAATTTACTCTGCTAAGTGCATATAGTACACTTAGCTACAAATGTGAACACTTTGTGAAACGGCTCGGAATTAGAGAGCATCCAATCAGTAGTAAATTATTCACATTCATAATTCCTGCATTAAACTTGCAATTCAAGTCCGCAATTTGCATCTTAATACAATGAGCATTGACTGAAAGTCAATAACCGTTTCAGAAATTTAATGCATTAATCAAAGCTAATTAATAATTTACTTTTACTATTATTTTACATTTTCGAACTATGATATTAAAGATATTATTATTTTGAAAATATTAAGCTTAACACTTTTTAACGATAATGGTAAAACCATACACTTAGTATAGAGTTCACAAATTAGAGTACATACAATTAATGCTAAGTTATTCACACTAATAACTTCCGCATTATCCTGCTGCGCGCAAGCACTTTTATCCCCACGTTTTAAGTGCTCAATTTGCAGCTCGATAAATATCAATAAAAAAAAAATTGACACGCTAAAGGCAGAATGATAGGACGATAAATCATAGCACGAATAGAGAAGAAGGAGTTCCATCGCCAATCCACTGAGCTTTCTTATTGTGTTTAAAGCGTGCACAGAATCAATTATTGAATAGAAAGTATTATGTAAGATACGTATAGCACAAGAACGAGATAAAGAGTGTAAAAGAAAACATGGGTTAGTTAAAAATATAAAATATGTAAATTATAGCGGAAATACTTCGGTTTGCGTCTTATTATAGGCTTTTATAATAATTATGCAAATGATTTCATTTTGCTTATAATAAGACTGCATTTATTGCAAGCCATTAAATGAATAAAAAAAATGTC